CGGTATTTTTTTCTGGTTTGATTAATTGTTTTTGAATAGTAAGTCCACCAGTGGATGTATATGCATGCTTCAGCGTCTTCTACCCTTTCAAAATGCTTAGTCAATTTGACAGATTGTCCAATCTCTGGAGTGACTGGTTTGCAGCAGAGATTAGAGACTCCCAGAGCAATTTGCAAAAACCCAATTGATGGGCATGACATTGTGTAAACAAGCCTCTTGTATTAGGCTGTGTCACTTAACAGCTCTGTTGCCAGCGAAAAAGCGGATTGTTTGGAGCATCAGCTTCTTGCCTACCCTTCGTGTACTCTTAAGACAAATCCCTTGACCTCATCTGTGAAGCTGTCTCATACTCTTCCCAGCAGAAGGCTGTTGGGAAGATTACATAAAAATAAGAATGTGTATGAATTATGCTGCTTTATGCATTATACTTAGTGTATGTATGATACCTGGCAAGACACTGTCCTCGTAGTAAGTAATTCTTCTTATGGTTTATTTTGTTCATACAGAATGCTCTCCCTGTAATTCACCTGATGTAGCTCCAGGCCGCTCCTAAAGGAGAGAAAGGAAGTATCACCTGACCTGTGTTTTTATCTCTGTTGTTCTTGAAGTTGATTGTCTAAGATATGCTTCCTTTTTCACTCAGTGGCTTGCTTTCTACTTAACACAACTTTGCTAAAATTAAAGTAGACTGTTGGGCCAAAGTAAAAGTTTTAATTATAAAACATCCAAAGAAATTCAGTATGTGTGTTAGGATAGGTTCTCTAGAGAAGCAAAACCAGTAAAGCTTATATATACATACAGAGAAAGAGAAATTTATCTAAGGAAATGACTCACACACTTATAGAAGTTGGCAAGTCCCAAGTTCTTGGATCAAACATCAAGTTGGAGGCTTTTCCGGACTCACACAGCTGTAGGGCTGAAGAGCTCAAGGCTGGCAGGCAGTACACCGGCTGTTGACTCCAACGAATGATGAATCCAAGGTCTCCAGGCTGAATGGTGGATTGTTCACTCACGGACAGTTGTAGACAGCACAACAGGATCCCGATCCACAGAAGAGTGTCTCCTTTCCCAGGATGTCCATAATATACTGGAAGCAGGCCACACCCCTAGGGAAACTCCCTTTCAACGAATTGGCTGCTCAAAACATATGCATTTGATCCCATCATGGGAACAACCGACATCACAGTTGCTTAAACCACACAGAATTGTGGTCCAGCCAAGTTGACACACAGCTCCAACTATCACAGTGTGGCAATCTGAGATTCTAAAGTCCTCTTCACAGTTCTGGGTCACACTGTTAGCTGCCATCCATGATGACCCTACACACAAGGGAATGAAATGTTGCCCACTCCTGCACTATCCCCACAATGGTCTGTTGCAGATCAGACCATTCTGACCCACAGGGTTTTCATTGGTTGACCTTCAAGAGTAGATGGCCAGGCTTTTCTTCCTCGCCTGTCTTAGTCTGGAAGCTCCACTGAAATGTTTTCAACATCCTAGCAACACACAAATTTCCACTGACAGATGGGTGATGGCTGCATTATATGCATTGGCTGGGAATTGAACCTGGGCCTCCTGCACGGAAGGTGAGCATTCAACCACTGAACTGCCACTGGCTCCCTAGGTGACATACTGTTGTTAGAGTTAGGTGCTGTTGAGTCAGCCCCAGCTAGTAACAGCACTGTGTAAATCGGAGTGAAACCCTGGCCTCTCCTGCACCGTCCTCAGTCCTCGCTGTGCTTGAGCTCATCACGGCAGCACTGTGTCAGTCTAGCTCAGGGTCTTCCCTCCACGTAATTAGTGTTTATTTCATCCAGGATTTTGTCGCCTGGGAGTATGATGGTGGCCGTCTTTGCTGTGGACTCTGAGATGAGTATGCACTTCGCATGTTAACAACCTGAGAATAGGTCAGTCATTTACATATTTTTGGAAAATACTGAAACTTGTTTTAGGTTATAGTACACATTTTGGGCAAGTGCATTTTGTAAATGTATTTCAGATTTGTTTGTTTCCTAAATCTGTCCTTTGATGTTGGGGAAATGGCTCTAATTTCTATGAATTGCCTTTTAATGGATACGTAAGATGGGATTATAAACGCCCTCTTCCTGCCGCCTCTGCGTCGAAGAACTGAGTTTCTAACAAAGGCCTTTTATTCCCTTTGATCGTTACATTCATTTTCTCTGGACCTATTCTAGCACCATTTGATTGTGGGAGCTTCATCCTGGGGTTTATACCAAGTTCCACTTAGTTTTTGCTTTTTTTTTTTTTTT